TCGAATTGCCACCTTCAGCAGATTTCAAATACCACTCAAATGCCTTTTTTTCATCCTTGTCTGTGCCTATGCCATTTAAGTAGCAGACTCCAAGATTATATTGTCCATTCGAATCGCCACCTTCAGCAGATTTCAAATACCACTCAAATGCCTTTTTTTCATCCTTGTCTGTGCCTATGCCACTTCTGTAGCAGTTTCCAACATTAAATTGTCCAACTGAATTGCCACCTTCAGCAGATTTCAAATACCACTCAAATGCCTTTTTTTCATCCTTATCTGTGCATATGCCATTATCGTAACAGATTCCAACATGTTGCGCAGTGTAAACGTCATCTTCGGCGTGTTTCAACAAAAATTCAGATATTTTTTCTTCCATGGTATTTAGATTAAAAATATACTAAATAATATTTTTTTTTGATTATTTTGTTATAACGATAAAGTAAAAGTTTATACGTATGCACGTACGTACGTGTTACATGTATAAAGTAGTACGAAAATGCAAATTAGGACTTTTAAAAAGATTATTTGAGTTCATAATCTATTAGAAATACTATTATTTCCTAAATAACTTATTTACGCTTTACTAATTTAAAAAGTATCTTCAACTTTAAACGCACGCTAAAGTTCACTACGAAACTATCTCGAAACTGATAGAAGACCAATGCACTTTCTTTATTACTATCATACTTGTGGAGACATTGTCTGATTGACCGATTTATTTCAATTTTAGGTTTAGCTTAAAACAATTGATCATCTTGATTTTCTCGAAGGTTACATCATTTCATTTTATAATTTATGTTTGTAGGTGAGAAGACTGAAACTAGAATTTTTTTTATTAGCTATATATAGATGTGAAATTTATGATTATGCCATATTAATACGAGTGTGTCTAGAGTTGATATCAATATATAACTTTTGTCGTAACAATCGAGGTTCTTTTTTTTTTTTATCAATGATTCAACAAGAGGAACCGTCGATTTTACACGACTGAACCCTCACCCAGTGTGCAACATATAAAAAAATTAATTTACAATACCAGATCATTCCGATAGAACATGTTATGATTATAATCCCACACCAGTTTTATTATAATAAAATGATGTGGAATTATAATCATAACATGTACTACCGAAATGATCTGGTATTGTAAATTAATTTTTTTTATATGTTGCACACCGGGTGAAGGTTCAGTCGTGTAAAATAGACGGTTCCTCCTGTTTAATGATGCAGGTAATAACCTATGACGAGTTATAACCATAACATAGAATGTAACTTGTAATGCTAGTTGTCATTGTGGTTGTCAAATGAAGTCTGATAATTGAAATCATTATATCATTTGAAATTTACATTTAGTATTTTTTTGACGAACCTGAAATATTACAAAGACGAAAATTATTCACGCTGGCTAAATTTTTTGACTTTACCGTTAAAATATATTTTCTCCTATTGGCAAATATTTTAGACTTTAGAAAGTAGTTCGCATTAATTAGTGTAATAGTTATTAATGAATTTGAAATCTTATTTTAAATTATATGCCTAAATTGATAAATATTTTTACATTAATAAATTAACGCGCATAAAATATGAATCCGAATAGTAATAAATATTGAATTAGCAAGCAAATAACCTAGACCAAATACATTATAACTCGACACTTCTGCTTTGACTAACCTATTACCATAGAAATAAAAAAAAATATTATATTTTATTAAGAACTCATAGCTGCACAGTGCTTCTTATCCTGTACTATTTTGTCCTATGTTATTATTAAAGTTGAAATTTTTAATTCTTATATCCAGGGCATTTTAGAAAGGTTTATATAGAGTTTACTGTGTATGAAAGAAAAAAATTAAGTATGTCGTACGTCGAAACGTAATTATTGCGTATTTAGAATCTATTTAGTTGGAGCGGAATTCAAAATGTAACTCAAGTTGATTTTAATTTCGATGCCACAATAAATGCAGAAATGCATAGTTGATTGACGTAACAATTGTTAAATAAATTACATCATATCGTCATTCTTTGACAATGCTTAGGGCAATATTTTCATCGGACAGAATAGTAATTTCCAATTTTTTCATCAATTAGATTTATTGGTTGAAGAAGCTGAACAATCGCTAGTAGCACTCAAATTATTATTCGGTATATTGGGCTTCAGAATTAATGATTCGACGTTCGACTTCATATAAGTGATTTATTTATTTCAAAAGAAGCGACGTACAAATCTTATTTTTTTAAAGTACTGTACGTACTTATTTACATAATCGCTTACCGATGAAAAAAAGCCAATTTTATCACCGGCTACGCCTATTCAATTTTCTGATTCGGAATTTTTTTTAAAAAATAGGATCTTTTAAACTCCCACTTATTTTTGAAAAAAGTCAATTCTGAAAATCCTATAGAAATAAATAATTGTTTTGGTCTAATTATAATACAGTAGTTTGACTTTTATGTAATTTGATCATAGCGATAGTTTAATTTTAATCAATCTTTTTAACTACTGTTATATCTTTTTTATTTTACCAATTTTAACTATGATATATGTTAAAATCAGGTTTATTATGTGATAAAACCCAAAACATAGTGTTGTTAAAATATTTAGTTTGCATCACTAGTCTGAAGCTCAAATTTTTTAGGCATTATATCCGAAACTGCATTTTTAATATTTTTACTATAAATTATCAAAAACGTAATTTTGATTATCAAAGGGCATAGAAATATAAGTTTGTTGCTTCGCTCCAGACAATGATAAACTTTTATCGCTTATCTGTTATTCAGATTTACATATTTTTATTTAACATTAATTATTCGAGGTTCTCTTTTAAAATTATCGCATTCACATTGCCTATATATTCCATCACTACCTTATTGCATGTTTTGCAATATAGGTGTGAATGATGATTGTATTTGTCACAAGCCTTACATTCGTGCTTCCATCCTCTAAAGATATACCACTTTTCAAAATAATGTTGACTTTTTTTATTTGTTGATGTATTTTGATTCTTCATTATTATATTAACAGAAAAATAATATATATGACTAATTTTTTTTAATATATACATATATACAAACCTGTAATGTGTAACCTATTTACAAACAAATTATGCATAATGATAAGCCTCATAAGGAATTTCTAATTTGCATGTTTATTCAAAATGTTTCTTGCCAATCTTGTTACTGTTATATAACATTGTATATATTATTTTTACTAAAACTTGTTTTTTTTACTTTAACACTAGATATATTTTGAAATGCCAATATATTTTAGCATGGGCTAGCACATATGTAAACAAACTATGGTAAATAAATTAGTGAACAAACATATTTAAAAATCAAATCACAAAAAATATAACTTTATTAATTTTATAAATATATATAAAAATAGACTAGAGCAAGCTAAGTAAAAATTTAAGAGTAGTAGACATTTAAAAAGAAGAATTTCTCGAGCCCTAATCCATAAAAGAGAGCTCTTTCCTACTACTCTATATTATCAGCTAAGCTATTATTATTTTTACTATCTATCTACAAACCAATCTGGTCTAGTATACTAATATAACTATTCTTTTTTCTTTATATTTCTTTCATAAAACTCTTATACAATTGTCTTTTTAATATTCCTCCCAAGTTCACGAATTTTCATTGCTATCATTAAACACATCTCTTCTAAAATAAATTTTTTTTTAGTTTTAATTTGATTAAAAATTTGCTTAAATTGATTCTAGATAGTAAGGCTAATACTTATAAATATTAATTGACCCAAGCCAAATAAACATCTAGATGAGCTTGTATGAGATTGATTTGATACTTTGAAATGATTAGATACACTTTGTTGATCAGCTTCAATTGGCTGATTTTTTCTGATAATTGTATAATATTGAATTAATCTGTTTTGGAATGCTTTAATAGAAGCATTAACTAAGACAAAATTATTATAGCATGCTTTCTTAATATTATTAATTCTTGTAACCATGTCATTGAAAAGTTTTTGTACTTCAGAAATGTAGAACTACTCCCTCAAAAAGTTGTATAAATCATGTAATTAATTATTTTTAGCTTTGATACATATATATAATTTTTGAATAACAGTTTGAATTAAAGATACTTAATTTAATATATATATATTTTGAGAATT